TTAGGAACACGTACTTTTATAAATAGTAAAATTAACATGATTTATACACCAACATATTGCTTTTATATTCATTTGTTGTTCGAAATTAAAAGTCCGAACGTATCTTGTTTACGTTATCTGGACAGGATTCGCTATACACCAGCGGGATGAAACGGTTGACATGTGCAGGGACCAATGTTCTAAGTTTGTAGGTGCAGCAATATAGCCACAGATATTCGTCTAAAATTAGTGAACGCGGATATGTAAGGCTTTTTTTCAGTGCCTGCCAGTCTGTTGTTGAGAAGCTGATATCTCCGAATCATGTACACCCGCTATGTAGAAAACCGTGTGGGTTTGCATGTTGTTGGGTTAAGAACACGTGCTGTTTATTTCCTGCTAGAAGGTCTAACTACAAGCAAAATGGCGGACTCTAGTTGTCTAACCGAAGATGAAAAGAAAACAAACAACACCGATATATATATGGACAAATATATGTATTAAACAACACAATTTTACAATGGATATAGACATTAACATTTTATGTGTATTTGAACATTTGTGTTTGTTCTTTGGTGAATGTTCGTATGTCCGTGTATTTGTGTATAATGTTCATGAGTGGGGAGACGTTATCTTTTGCGAGAGCTTACATTGTAGAAGTGTTCGCTGAAATGAAGAAATGAAAAAGAGAACGAGGCAAGAAGTTGCCTAGTATTTATAGTGGAGGGAGAGAAACCCCTAGTGAATAATTAGGGAATTAAGGAGGAGCTAACTCCGACAGCTACATTAAAACTGTTAATTCATCCTTTCATATTGCTAGACCTGTTAAATAAATTGGCTTATACTTGTAATGCATATATGTGTTTGCAGTGTTAAATTAATTGTTTAGTATTTGTAGCATATCTATTACCCAGAAAGGCGTGTCGTCATATGGATATGGGAGAAGTGCGATAGTAATATGGCCGGGTAGCCAAGCGGGACGGTAGCTCGAAAAAGTTTGGTAACTTCTGCTCTAAATTCTGTAATACTAAACAAAATTTAAATCAATAAATACTACTCTTTACTACGAGATGATAACTCCATAAGTAATACGGTATTTATTCTGTAGCAGACGTTAAAACTTTTTGCTTGACACTGTTGGGCATGCGCGGAATGAACTAAGATTTTTGCTATGGTGTTAGAAAATATCAGAAGAAAATTTTGTCAGGTTGCGTGATCTTCTCTTGCATCCACAACAATAAATAATACTTAATATAAAACAAAGCAAAACCTGTATGCAATTCAAACAAACAAATGCATTTATATACAACACAAATATTATATACAAAATATTATTACAAAATATTATTGTGTTGTTATGTTTGTTAGTAGATGAAGATTTTGTTTGTTTTTTGGTGCCTTGGTGTATTTGTATTACAGTCTATAAGAATTCGTAATTAGTGTTTAAACACCGTTATTATGTTCGTGTTGTTCTTTTTGTATTGTTTAGAATTGAGTCATTCAGAAGTAGTCTACCCTTAACTGTAAGTATGAAATATGTTCAATAATAGTATTTACTTAAATTGTAGTAAGCGTTAATAATTCACTTTGGATAAGTAAAGTCTTGCGAGTTGAAGTTCTTTGTATTCACAGAGTAATCTTCGAGTCGAGTTTGTGGGTGAGTCAGTTGTGGTTTTTTTCGCGCGGGAAAATTATAATCGCAAGTTACGTGGATTAGATTAACGCTTCTCTGTGTTCGTTAGAATGACTGATTTATCGTAGATGATCAAAGAGAATGTATAGTTTGAGATTCTTGAATGACGAAGAAGTTCGTAGAAGATATTGAACGGGAAAGATTTGTCGTCTCGATTCGTCGAGACGGGAGTAGTAGTCGTCACATTTTTAAGCTTGAGTGAGCGGTCGAAAAAATGGTCTGCTGCTGATCTGCCCAGGTCTGCATCTTCGTGTCACACGTGCTTTGGGTTTCTTTTAAGAGGTTATGATCACGTGGGTAGCTCCAAAACGATTTTACGCCAAAACTTCGAAGTGCATGTGCGGACGACCTGATTGGTAGAAATGAACCAATCAGAGGGCTAGATTTACGAATGAAAGTTGGAATAGTGCATTACTCGAAGAAAGTAAGATTATAGACGAGCCCAATAACACTATTATTAAGCAAATATTAAGCAATACAGGAAGAATACGGAACACAAACTGAAAGTTTAAAGGAATATTATTCATTTATACAAATACTGTTTGAAATAATAATTCTTGTTGCAAACAAATTGTTCTGTTTAGGGCTATATATTATATAATGAAACAATATAACTCCACTTACTTAACTGAAGTCCTTAATGTTGTAGTAGAATGTTTTACGTACTTGTAAATGCTGCTTGTGTATTGCGTTGAGAAGATCAAAGTGATTGCGTGTTGTAAGAGCATTTAACATTTATGATTCAAGGAAAAACAACGAGAAACCAATTTGCGTCAACGATAAAATATACATTAAAAACATCTAATACAAAACAATTGTGCAAATGTGTGAATATTAAGGAAGAAAAAGTAGTTTCCCTTTAACTGTTATCTTACTTATTATAAAACGCAGATTGTGTGTGTGTGTGTGTCTGTACGTTTATATATTGGATCGGATTTCTTACATTTTTCAACCGATTTCGTGTTTAAAACTTCACAGGACTACGTAAAATTACCTTGCGGTGGTTCTGACAGCACCAAAATTGGGAAAAACACAATTGTTTTTGCACGAAATCAATTTGAAAACACGATAAAACAGGATTCTGTCGCCAGAATGAAAGGGGGACAACTCATATCGAGTTATACATATTATAAAACCCAGGTTGTTTGTGTGTGTGTGTGTGTATGTTCGTTTATATATGGGATTGGATTTCCTACATTTTTCAACTGATTTCAACAAAACTTCACTTTTTTTGGCAGGTAGTGTTTCTTATTGTCTTGCACACTTTTTCTTTTATTTTACATTCAGAATGCTTTAAAATTCCGTTTACAAGACAATTGTTTATAATAAAATTCTATTCAATCGATAGACTCATAACGATTGAAAACAATGTTTTGTTTGAGTTTGGGTTTCACCAATTCGTAAAAAAAATAAAAAATAAAAAAATAAAAAATAAAAAAATAAAATAAAAACTAATTAAGACATGCGTGTCTGTCAACCTTAAACAATAATCTTTGTCAATTTTATTTTTCAGTCTTTATGATGGCCGATACTTGATCTATCTCTTACTGTTACATCCCCGGGCAACGCCGGGCTCTACTGCTAGTCTTGAATAAGATAAAATGTTATTAAGAATATTTCTTGTATAGAAAATTCAAAGTTCTATATTGAAATAGAATGTTGCATTCAGAAAGGAATACAGTTAATTTAGATATGTGTTGTTTGTGTAGCTAACAGAGTGTTGGTTTGTAACTTGGCTTGGCCACAGAAAATGAACAGTGTAATGTAATTCAAATTTCTGTGTCTGTGTGTGCGTTGTGAGTAGAATCAATAATTTGTGTAGACACGCGTAAATTGCTGGACTCTACTGTCTATTTTTGGAACAAAACACTGTTTTATAACTGCTGGTAGGCTCGATGAAACAACGTGGGAAAGTTGAATGAACGCAAAAAAATGTATGAGTGGATAAAAATCAACCAATTACTGATTTTCTAACAAAACTATGTCTGAGCAAATTTACGGCAGAAAAATTCAGTGTGGTGACTGCGATTAGTAAATTGTCCTGTGGTAAAACAGTATTTATTTATTAACCAATCACAGATGAGTAAATTGTAGGCGTGGTAAGCTTAGTAGTCACTACATACTCTTATTAGTACTGCTCTCATGTCATAACTTCTGTTATTGAAGCAGAGACGATTTTAACGTCCTGTTCCTCGCAGATCTCGACAGAAACGAGAGAAAGAAGCAGAAAGGAATAGCGTTCATATTCATAATTGACGCCAACATATTCTGGTTAGTGATTGGTTGGTTTGAAAAGGTATGCCGACCAAGCAAATACGCTATACGTGATCTCTAGAGAGTGCAGTTGACCAAGGGAGATAACTCACCAAATATATATTTTCTTATAACACGCATGCTGATAGGGTTTCCACGCATGCATGTTATAAGGAACAAAAAAACGAGTATCATGCGTGCTGTAAATCTGAAGAGGTATAATAACTATCTTACTTGGCTATTGTGGCATGTGGGGCTTCCTTACTTTGTTCGATTCAGCAGTAGCAGCAACGGAAGTAATCAGCAGGGTACAACCGGAAATCCCAGAACCCATAAAATCGCTGACCGAGACTTATTATATTTCTTTTTCGACTTTTCCTTTTCAGTGGCCGCTACCTCCAAGGCCTATCTCGAAAGGCTTCTCACAATCTATGCTACAGAAGACACGTAGCCTGTCCTGGCAGCTTAACTCAGATTTCTCGAACAAGCGGAGAAATCTTCCTTCGAGATACCTACCCTAATGACTACTCAAAAATCTTTGCTGCAGATTTTGATACTGAGATTTCTCGTTCCTCGCGGGAGCAAGCGGAGAAATCTCTCTCTTTCTTCAAAAAGCATCTAGTCGAGGGAAGAACTTTGTTAACTGAGAAAGCCAACTTTTCCTCGTAAAACACCACTATTTTGCACGCTCTGTTTCAAATAAAAGCTGTTGAACAGTTATTTCGAGCCTTGAGTTTGTTCATTCCACTTTATATCCTGCCGAGCACATACACACGCAACCGGGAAAATTCCTACATTAGTAGTATTGTTTTCTTCTTCTTAATGATAATAATAATAATAATAATATTAATAATAATAATAATATTTAAGAAAGATTTCTCAACGTTTTATAAATCGGCAAGGTGATGCATAAAAAATCCCCTTATTTTCATTTTCAGTTTTAGCTGCTCTTTCACATTCATATTAATCTTAGCCACTAACTTTATGAATTACTAAAAAAACCTACAGCTTGGCATTAATTTATTGGGTGGGGAGGTAGGCAAAAATCTCCTCAATGTACTTTTTTCTTCTTGGCTTACGATCTCATACGATCACCGAAGTTAAGCAACGTCGAGCTTTGTCAGTACCTCGATGGGTGACCGCTTGGAAATACCAGATGCTGTAAACTTGGATGTGTTGAAGGTGCACTGGCTTATGACCACATCACGTTGAAAGGCCGGTTCTCGTACGATCACTGAAGTTAAGCAACGTCGAGCCTTGTCAGTACCTAGATGGGTGACCGCTTGGGAATACCAGGTGCTGTAAACTTGGATGTGTTGGAGGTGTAATGGCTCATGACCACATCACGTTGAAACGCCGGTTCTCGTACGATCACCGAAGTTAAGCAACGTCGAGCCTGGTCAGTACCTAGATAGGTGACCGCTTGGGAATACCAAGTGCTGTATGCTTGAATGTGCGGGTGGTGTGATGGATAATGACTCGGAATTGTTAATCGGAGAGCCGAGTTCCAATTTCAGTTGGGTTCGTTATATTCATTTACGCGCATATATCCTTGGGAAAGTTATGAATCCAAGTCTTTCCCCCAGCTATGGGTTAAATAGCAGGACTTGTATCGCTAAATCATTATTCTTACAAAAATATTTTCTGGCTTTAAATAACCTGCAAAGGGTTGATAAACCGTAGAAAACGCATCAACCAACTTCTTTGTGTCATGTCCCTTCAGGACCTGGACGATCATGACCCTCCATAACCTCCTATCCGTTGTAGTTCTTAGTAACGTCTGTCTTTCTGACAAGCCTCCTCCCTTTCCACTATTCATTCACACAAACTTGTCAGATAGGTGTTCTGTTGCCTTTTCTTCTCCCTTTTGATATGTCCTCTGAGTCAATTTCTTCAGGTCTCCTTTTCCTCGTTATGTGTAGGCAAAAATCTCCTCAATGTACTTCCTTTTTCTTCTAGGTTTACAATCCCGTACGATCATCGAAATTAAGCAATGTCGAGACTGGTCAGTACGTAGATGAGTGACCGCTTGGGAATACCAGGTGTTGTATGCTTGAATGTGCGAATGTTATCTACAGTACAAAATATCTCGCCACTGACATGTCAAATGGTTGATGAGAAAGGGAACGTGTGAGTTAGCATTTGAGGCAAACCACTTTCCCATAATTATCTTACTTGCCTAGACAGTGGTAATAAAATGCCGTTACTCTCATTGTCAACCTTGACATGAGCCAATATGCTTAGTAGATTAGATCAGATAATCATAATGTTCATTTTTTTTATCTCAATGGCTCAGGTCCAAGCTGAGCTGTGTGGGTATCTCGACATTAGTTGAAAACTTCCACATCTGATGTTTGCGTCTAACAATTCAAAATACTCTTCTTATATTTATAGAGGTAAACAATGCGGTGAGTTTATTTTATGTATATATTTTTAATGTTTTATTTAAATGCTTCTTGTGTCAAACCAATCCCATATCTACCTAAGAATTCAGGAAACACACGTGTAACGTAGTGTTACTGTTTTAATTATCTCGACCAATAGAAACTGGATGGAATGGAACTAATTTTTGTACTGCTGCCCCTCAGCTGAACATCATTTGAAATATTTCAGGAAGCAAAGAAAGAAAATGCGTAAATACTAAATAGAATAAAAAAGTGTTTCTTTTTTTGCTTTTTTTTTTAATTTTAAATAAACCATTATTTCGTTTCAGTTCGTCAATTTCAGTTTTAACTAAACTGTGAGAAACTTTGTTTTCTTGAAAGAAATTGTAGTTATAATCCTTTCTTTGTGAAAGAACATTAAAAAAAAATGGATAAAATGAAATCTGCAAGTAATTTTCCAAAAATTTAGAAATAATATTTATTTTTTTTAACGTTTTTTCATCACACATGTAAAATCATTGTCTTTTAAAAACTTTCCCAGGTTAAAAATCGTGTTTTTCTTTAAGGGAATTCTGAAAATAAAAGCAAAACAAAACGCCTTAAACCCCCTAATTCACTTTTGTATCGTTTCGTTTTAAATTTGAAAGGCTAATAATAGATTATATAAATAGTGGAATAAGATAATAAAAACGACATTTTATCTTTCATAATAAGAGTTTATTTTTCAGAAATACAGTTAATATGTTGGAGCTTATTTACGGGTTTTGCATTTATTAAAATAAAAAAAATCTAAATAAAAGCCATTGCGGAAACAAGTTTAAAAAAAAAACAAACATAATGAACTTTCGTTTCGTTTTCGTTTCGGCGTGTTCACGTGATTTTAACAGTGCCGCCATATTCGGAAACCGCTGCTGTATTGACAGCAATAACAGCGGTCGATTGTACAAATACGCATAAAATTCACCTTAAGAACTGTCAAAGTCCCGTTTTTGATTCTACTGGGACTTTCCTGTTTAGATATAGATATTTTTTAAATATCTTTTTTTTTCTTCATTTTCTTTTTATTAGTTTTACAGTTGAATTTATCCTTTATTAAAAAAAAAGAAGAAGAAGAGAGAACAACAGTAAAACGGGACAAAAAAAAAACGATATTGGTGATTCTCTGGAGTGAAAGGTTGAAAGAAAATATTTCTTTTTATTATTAGCAATCGACAGGGACATATATAGCTTCTTCTTCTTATATATGTCAAAGTGTTGGCTTTGGAAAAAGCAAAGAGGATAATAATAATAATTGCTCCAGCGGTTTAAAAAAAAAAAACAAAAAAAAAGAAAGAAAGAAGCTATCTATATGGATCTTGGTGCCAGTGGAAAGGGTAGCACTAGTTGTAGCAGCAGCGGCAGTTTAGGAAATTCTACCGTGGTCTCATCATCATCTCCAGACCTTGCTGCGACTTCTGCCGTCACCCAGACAAACAGCAGCAAAAACAACAATAACGATGTTGCATCCCTAGAGAAAAAAGGCGAAGAGACGAGCGAGACCCAAGTGTCATCGCCGACCGAACAAAATATGAAAAACCAACAACAAACTAACAATAATAATATTATTAATAATAATAATAATAACAATAACAGTGCAAATATTGTGGTCAGTGGCTCGGGTTGTACGAGTCCATTCCTCATGTCCTCTTCGCCTTCCTCCTCATCTTCATCGTCGTCGTCGTCGTCATCGTCCTCTTCTAATAATGCTAATTTAGTGACCACGACTTCAGCCCCTGTCGTCTCGTCTTCTACTGACCCAGACACTGTGGCCAGCAGTAGAGGCAAACAATCCCCTCAACAACATGCTGCCAATGTTGGGGACCTTATCAACGTTAACGACCTGCTTAACAACAGTACAGATTCTGCTAAGACACTCTCATCAGCGGGTAAGTTAACAAAAAAATCTTTTTATTTCCATTATTATTATTATTATTACGCAGTTATGCATTCATTTTAAATTTAAAAAAAGCCTTTTTTGGCATTATTATTCATGAATTGTGTAGGTCTTGTAAAGTTTAAAAGAAATAAAGGTTTTTTAGTTGAATTATAAAAATGTATATTTATCTATATTTTTATTTTGCCTTTTAGGAGTAAAGCAATATGTGATGTCAATTACAAATCCAATTTATGTGGGACACAATATAAAGTTACTTTTTAGACTTTATAATATAAACTTTATATTTGCATGATACCAGTTCACATATGACATATTACACTACAAGGGTGTGCTGAAAAGTTCTCGGCTCAGCTAAGAAAGGATTAAAAAAATTTAATCTAAAAATGTTTGGCCAAGTTTTTGGGAAGAGGGTCTGGCTAAAAACTTCTCAGTAGGTATATTACACGTGTGTGTATCAATTATTCATTTTAAAACAAATTTCATTCCGCAAGATCTGTTTTTGTACTTTGTTTTTTTTTTTTTTTTTTTTAAATTTATTTAATAATAATAATGTAAGCGTTTAAAAGCGACTTTATTGATTTGTGGGGTAGGGATATTGCGCTTAGAGATATAAACATGGCGTGAAGATCATTTAAAACTGAAAGTTATGCAGTATTGATGTTTTTTTTTTTTTTAGATGTTCACACTATTTCCTATATGAGGCAAGTTAAAAATGTTAGGATAATATTATAAGGGAGATAAATCGGTGTTATTTTTATGCAGAAATCGTTTGAAACTCAATTGGTTATAATAGTCGGTTTTAACGTTTCAAACGAGGTTTATGTAAACACTGATTCATCTCTTTTTCCATTGGACATTAATGAGACTCATATTCTGTGCCTTCATTTTCATATAATGTCCGAAATAAAATATAATTTTTATCCCTTTTTACTCCCGTCAGTAAAAACTGAAATTAAATTCAGTTATTCTCACGACCAGTAAATCTGAGAATTTGAAATATGGAAATAAGAAAGAAGTCGGACGAAAAATACATCGAAGAATGCTATAAGGGAGATAATTTTGTTCTGTGGATCCTGTTTGAAACGCTGAAACCAACTATATATACCCAGGATATTGTTGAGTTTTAGTGTCTCAAACGATTTGTACATATCAAGAGCTGATTTACATTAGCTCTTAATTTTTGGAACTAGCCTCATATTGAAAGCCTTCATTTTGAATTAGAAAAGTCATTTATTCTGGTAAAAAAATATATATAATTTTCTGAACTATTTTCTCATGAAACCTTGGATTATTATAATTTCGATTTAAAACAGGAAAGGATAAACAAATAAGTTTAAATTATAAAGTGGTAATATTAGAACAAATCAAAAACAATCTTTATAACCAGTTTGTCATTCCTCTCTCATTAGAAACTTGATCAAACCTTGGATTTTTACACTGTTGCTTTGTTGAGGAATAAAGTCTTACTTACAAGTGCTTTTGCCTCTGATCAGCATAATATCTGTGCAGTCTATGAAAGATAGTGATACACACTCAATCATTATGGATAAAGACAAAAGTAAAACTTATCTTAGCCATGATAAAAGACAAAATGTACTGTCTAAGATAAGTTTTTACTTTTGATGTCTTATTAATATTGTCCTTTCAAAAATATACTCTATCTGAAATTTTTACAAAATAATAAGATTAATACAAATATAAAATTTGTCACTTAGTTGATTGATATTCAGCACCCTGAATCCAGAATTACATAGACAAAACATTTTGTAATGATTCAGTCCACTTGTCAGGAAGTATCAACAATTGATTGCTGATTTACACATTTTTGTTATTTTTAAGTTTTAAAATAATTGATGTGCTATTTTATATTTGTATTAATCCTATATATATATATATATATATATATGAAGAAAATATATATATGGAAAAAAAAAAAAACAAAAAAAAAATCCTAATATGCAATTATGCTGCTTTAATGTTAATATAATGTCAATGTCGGACGTTTAGGTCTTGTAGACCATCTTCAGGACATATTCATAAACATAATTAACATTAGACTATATTTAATTCAACATGAAAAGACGATGGACATAAAGTAAGACTAATCAAAACAGACAACTGAAATTTTTTCAAGATCAGCGTTCCGTTTCAATATGATCATGTCGTCGTCACGTTGGTGATGTTGTGAAAATGTATTCCTAAAATATAGTATTTTGAATGAAAAATGAAAAATTTTATTTCAATCTAAAACTTATATGTACGTTTGTCGAGCGTAAATCTTGCTAGAAAAGGGGAAATATTAAAGAAGCCAGGTCTAGTATTCACCGTGCGTGAGATAGATATTATGCCTATATCTATATTATATATAAATATTATATTATATTTTTTTCATACTGTCAGATCTATATCCATATATTTGCTTATATATATATATATATATATATATATATATATATATATATATATCTAGTTAAACCTAGAGAGCAGACAAACCTACCAAAGCTTCACCTAAGCGGATCGTCAGGGAAGGCTGGCTAAAAAGGTAAAGAAGGATGGAAAATTAATCATATATGATTAATACAAATATAAAATTTGTCACTTAGTTGATGTTATATATTCAGCAGCACTGGTCCAGAGTTTTGTAGGCGAACCTTTGTGCAATTATACACTCGTAAAACAACCAGTAAATACCATGTAAATTATTTTTTAAACTTAATATAAAAGTAATGGAAATGGATAAAAGTAATGGAAATGGATAAATTGTTGATACATCCTGACAAGTGGACTGAGTGATTTTTTATATATATATATATATATATATATATATATATATATATATATATATATATCTGTCTATATTATATATAGAGATGAGGTATTATGTACACTATTTACATTACTTGGACAATTGTCCTTATTTTTGTTGCCATGTTTATCACAACGTTTCACCCGTTGTATGCTTCAGCCTTCTTCAGGTGGTTGCAATGTTGAACGGAACCCTTTATTTCGCTCACTGGGGTAGACTGTTCTAGTGCCATGTCTAATGTATGTCAGTTATCTCCTGTTAATTCCCCTCTCAAACAACTACACTGGGTACATGGCAGCAGCTCCAAAAAATTGGGATAAGCGGGTATAAGAGGAGGACAACAACACTCAGAAAACAGTCTGCCTGCCTTATGTGAAGGGGTTATCATAGAAAATACAAAAGATCTGTGGTCAATATAACATCAAGATAACCTTCAAAAGTGGGATGACACTTCTCCCGAGTAAGACAATGTAGAAACCAGTAATAAGAGCTCTGGTAAAAAAAAAAGTAATTGCTGAAGACATTAGGTTTATAATGTACCCAGAAATTCATGCACAGATGTCCTCAAGGACATGGCACAGTGGATAAAGGCGTTAGATCCAGTGATAGTACCCAAAAAGTGTAAGTTCAATACTTGGTTAAGGTCATTGTATTCATTTCTATGCTTGGTCGTCTCAGGAGATTTTTGTGGCCTACCATATGTGCTGATTTCTTAAGTTTACGAATTTTCCAATGGTGATCTCAACCTGATCCCACAGAGGGCTGTGATCTCCCTTCTCTCTCCATATGTGGTCAGCCACGCCTGATTTTTCCACTTCCCCTCGTGTTACAGCTTTCTGGTGTTCTTGAAGCCTTACCGTAAGTAGGCGGCCTGTCTCCCCTTTATATTTCTTTCTGCAGCTGCACGGGATAGCATACACACAGTATTTAGTCATGTTCTCCTCTATGGGGGGGGGGTCTTACTCGGGAGAAGTGTCATCCCACTTTTGAAGGTTATCTTGATGTTATATTGACCACAGATCTTTTGTATTTTCTATGATAACCCCTTCACATAAGGCAGGCAGACTGTTTTCTGAGTGTTGTTGTCCTCCTCTTATACCCGCTTATCCCAGTTTTTTGGAGCTGCTGCCATGTACCCAGTGTAGTTGTTTGAGAGGGGAATTAACAGGAGATAACTGACATTTATTAGATGTGGCACATAGAACTAGAACAGTCTACTCCAGTGAGCGAAATAAGGGGTTCAGTTTGACATTCCAACCACCTGAAGAAGGCCGGAGCATACAACGGCTGAAACATTGTGATAAACAGTGAAAAAAAATAAGGACAATAGTCTGAATAAATGTAAATTGTGTGTGTGTGTATATATATATATATATATATATATATATATATATATATATATATATATATAAAATTTTATATTATAATTATTATAATACAAAAGTTGTAATCCTCTCACTACTGTATTGCTATATCCATGGAAAATGTTCTGATTAGCTACATACCTTAGTTCCACCAGTTCTAACATTCGTAGCTAAGATCCACCATGCCATGTACAAAGGAATGTATCAATTCTCATTCCTTTCATATTCCATTAATAATAAGGAAATTCCATTTTGAAAGTTTCATCCCAAGAACTAATACTTTGTGGAATTAACTCCTGAGAAGATGCTTTTCTGATCACTACAATTTTAACTGCTTCAAGTCGAGAGTGAACTGTTATCTTTCCCACATATCCTCAGAAACTGCACTTCTTTCTTTCTTACTCTTACAATAACCTCCTTCAGTAACTCTCTACCCAGTCAGTCACTTAAACTTTTCTTGATTTATTGAATATTTACAAGATTATTTTATAAATATTTTGTAAATATTCAAAAAATTCAGGAGTTGGTTCCACAAAGTAATGGTTCTTGCTTGGGGAAGGTATTGTCCAAATGGAATTTCCTTCTTATTAATGTAATACAAAGGGAATGTGGATGGTGCAACCATTTGTATATTTCATGGTGGATCTTAGCTATGAAAATTAGAACTGGTGGAACTAATGAATTAATTCCTTATAATCACTTTACACATTTTGTGCTGCTGTGGTGACTACTCTGGTCCATCTCACAATTGTGGTTTATGGTGACATTCAAGGCAGAATAGTGCAATGTCTTGCCAGTTCTTTTTGAATATGGGAATGAACAATATTTATTTATTTTCTTATGTAGAAATAACTATGATCAATTTTTTGTTCATAAATTTATAAAAATGGGACAGGAGAACAAGAAAATTTAAACAAACACAACCATGAGTAACTAATTGCAAATTTAGAAAAAAATGTATTTACTGTTCATTTCTTTTATTCATTCTTGTCAAATAAATTTGCTAAAATAGGTTTGGTGCTGAAAGAAGAAAAAAATGTATAAATTCAGTTCATGTGTTTTGGTTTTAAAAACAAACAAACAAAAAAATTGCTGGAGAGTATACAGTAATAGCAGTGTTCAGAGAAAAAACATCCTTTTGACAGCCCATTCTTTTGTGGGTACATTTAATCATGGCCGAAAATTCACAATCCAAATTTTGTAGTGAATTTGGTCTGAAAAACATGGAAGAGCCAAATTTTAGTATTTTTTTGTCTCTCTTTATATATATATATATATATATATATATATATATATATATATATATATATATATATAATTCCTGGCTTCTGGTCAAATCATGTTAAAACCATCAGTTCTTGTTTAATCTTCAATGCCCCTGTCCTTTCAGGACATTGATGATCATGCCTCTCCCCACAATTTCCTGTCCTTTGTAACTCTTCCTGGTCAGTAGTTAGATGGAAGATTGCTTGGGAACACTGGGTACTGTAAGTGACCTCATAAAATCCAAAATAATTTTCAGTTTTAAATAATCTACAAAGGGTTGATAAGTTATAAAAAATCAAATCAATCAATCCCCCTCTAATTCCTCACATGTTATTAAGTGAATAATAACCACTACAGGAGTTGGTTGAAAGCAGGAATGAATATTTCATTCCAGCAGTTGGGAAAAAAAAAATGTGTATGTTTTCTAAGTGTATATGTTTTAAATTTTCTAATTGTGTATATGTTTTCTCTTGTTGAAGGGAATATAGTTTGCCTGTCATTGATATTTTGTTTGTGACATTCTGATTTATAATCTTAAATTGTTTTTTGGTGAAATTTAATTTTTAAATATTTGCAAAAACAATATTCTTAATGATTTGCCTTTTGTAAAGTATAACAGAAAATTAATGCTATTCTTTTTTACTTATTTTTAGCCACTTCATTGTGCAACCATAATGGAGGTTCTGGTATTGGTACAAAGTAAGTATTTGTCCGCAGGTAATGTAGCAGTTATTGGTGACGATAGGGGAATTGGTGAGCCAAGTTCATATTGTACCCAATTCACTTCATAGTAATGTTTTCAGCAATCTATTTTTCTTTCTTTAGTCTTGGATTATAGACAGACTAAAAGAAAACTCTGAATTTAAACCAATTAGGCATGTTAATCTTGTTTGATAGTGTGGTATCAAGTTTTTTTTTTTTTTTTTTTTTTTTATGAATAATTTTATAATTACAACTTTCTAAACTCTAATACAATTAAAACTAATGCGATATTTATCATTTATCAATTTATAAAGAAATAAATGTGAAAACAATTTTTTATTCATATCTTTTATAAACATTTACTAAATTATTAAAATATGTGTGCCAACTACAGGGTGCCCAGTAAAAAAAAAAAAAAAGCTGCAAATTTATTCTTTGAGAAAATACACCATTTCTAATTGGTCCATCTCAGTGGCTCTCTAAAAACCCAGATCTGAATGTTATAAATTACTGTATCTGGAGTATACTCTTAGCTCACTTGCAAAACCGTCAACATGATTGATTCATTGAAGTGGAACTTAACTGAAGCTTGAAATGAAATTCCTCTTGACATTATATGTAAGGCTACTACTTCCTGGTTAATACACTTACAACTTTGTGTTGAACATTTAGGCAAACATTTTGAACAGCTACGAGGATTGTTCAGTTTATGCATGAATCATGAAAGTTAAATAAGTTTCTTTCTGAATTTACCGCTTTTTTTACTAGGCACATTGTAGATTATATTAGGAGATGAAAGGAAAAAATATTTACGTATTTAGCAAAAAAGTTGAGCTGGAAACAACAGAGCGATTATCCAGGGTGACCAGTAGAAAAGCAGAAAATTTATTCTTTGAGAAAATACAACAGTTTTAATTGGTCCATCTCAGTGGCTCTCTAAAAGCCCGGATCTGAATGTTATGGATTACTGAAGCTGGAGTATACTCCTAGCTCACTTGCAAAACCGTTGTCATGACATCATCGATATTGATTCGTTGAAGTGGAACTTAACTGAAGCTTGGAATGAAATTCCTCTTGACAATATCTGCAAAGCTACTGCCTCCTGGTTACCACGCTTGCAACTTTGTGTTGAATATTCAGGCAAACATTTTGAATATCTACGATGATTGTTCAGTTTGTACATGAATCCATACTAAATAAATTTCTTTCTGTATTTACCACTTTTATACTGGGCACTCTGTATAAGGAAATCTATTATTTACCATTTTATAAAGTTTGTCTCTGTCGACAATTAGCCAGTGTTTTGCCAACCATTCCAATACATAATATAATCATGTAAACAATCTAATAAATAAATAGTGTTTATAATTTTTGTTGTCAATTCACAAGAACAAAGAAAATGTATAAATTATCTTTCACGTTTAAATTTTATTACAATTCTAATCATCACTTTTTAAAACAGTACGCATTGCCGAAGAGTGAGGGTTGTTAAAAATAATAGTGGTGTCAAGGGAAAAAAAAATGGCCTTTGGATATTCGGTCTTATTGTAAGCATGAAGATGCATGTTTGACGAATAGACTGTACCAGAGGTAGTTTTGTCGAACACTGCAAATTTCGACAAAACCAAAACATCAGCCTGAAAACTCTAGTCATGTTCTTAAATAGTGTTGTCAGATTGAGACTTTATTATAGAAAGAATGAATGATGTCAAATTTGAAATATCTAAACTGTCAGCTGTACACAACCACTTTCCAAGATCAATGGTTAAAAATGGCTTTGAGTAAGTGAAGCCTTGAAGGTCTTGGCAAAAACCATACTTCTTTGAACATTGTGGTCTGATGCTACAAAATCCCAAACAGAACTGTACCAAATAACAGAAGACTACCAACAGCAGCAACAACTAAAATGGATAGCACATGTAACTCAAAGAGAAAATAATGACATAATCAAGATGTTGACATTCCACGCTACTTCAAATAAAAGATTAGGAAGGAAACCTCATCAATACTGGAAAGAGCGATAACAACTGGTGGACTTGAGTAACCTATTTTCCTGAAAAATTGTTTTAAGAGAAAGATTTTATAAATTTCAAATGAAAGTAGTTCGGGCTGCTTGGTCATTTAATGCCTTGTAGGGAAACCGCTAATAATTTCATTATACACAAAGAAAGAAGGGAAATTAACAGAAGATAACTGATAACTGACATCCATCAAAGCATGGCACGTGGAACTAGAATAGCCTACCCCAGTGAGCGAAATAAAGGATTCAGTTCGAAATTCCAACCACCTGATGAAAGCTGGAGCGTACAACGGCCGAAATGTAATAAATATATTGACAAAGATGAGGACAATAGTCCAAATAATGTAAATAATGTACATAATACCTCATCTCAGAAATATAGACAGACACAAAGAAAGAGTTCTCTATATGTAATCCATATCAAAAGAAAATTGATTGGGTATATTTCCTCAAATTTTCTAAAGTCCTATTTCTCAGTAGTTAAACATTTCAGTTGTAAGGAACAGCAGTTAGTTACTTTTGTTTATTAGACATTAAGTTACATCATTTCATATTCTCCATAATTAACCTTGACTTTTTGGTTAGCCTGATGTAAATTATGAATGTTCTTAAATTTAAAAATTTTGAAAACTAACATTTTTTTTACTTTTGTTTATAAATTCTTGTTGCAAAATAAAATCCTAACATTTGTCTTTATAAAGTCTATCAGAGGACGAAACGTGTTGGCTAAGATAAGTTTTCCTTTTGTCTTTATTCATATTGTCTTTTTACAGATGTATTTTTAGTTATGTTTGAATCATATACGCACAGATATGATGCAATGTACAAAAAGATCTTGAAATACTAAAGAGTAAATTTATTCAATAAAATCACCATTGGCTTCAACCACAGCCTCCAGATGAATTCAGAATCTCCTGCAATTCTTCTGGGCGGTCTCCTTGTTTAAGTTGGTGAATGCTGCCATAATCCTTGCCTTCAGTTCATCTTTGATGTTACAAGGAGTTGCAATCTTGGGAGTTAGGTGGCCGGATGTAAGCGGTGATGTAGTTCTCAGAAATTGTGCTACTGGATTGGCAAAAAGGTCTCGCTGTTTTAATATTGAACTATCTAGACACAACTGCCACTTCCATTCTAACACTTTCTTTTCTTGCACTTCTCACTTGTGGAACTTCTTTTGTGATTTCTTACTTCCTTGCCGCCTAGAATCTTGAAAAATTTAAATACAGTAAATATCTATCTGTACATTCTAAACCAAGAATTGGGAATTTACTCTGTAAAATGGATGGTTTTCTTAGAGATAAATTTTTTATTTATTATTTGGGAACAATCTTTTTTCTTTTTTTTTTCTTCTCTTTTTCAGATTTTATTTCCTATTTTATAAACCTTTTCTTTTTTCTTTTCAGTCACTTACAGAACAAAGTTAATTTTGGTTATCCTTGGTCATCCAACCTCAGACAACAAATGTAAGTTTTCTTTAATTTACTTCTGAATAAATGAAAAGAGCAACATTTCATTTGAACAAGTGTTTTGTTTATATATCAATCTTGACCGATAAGTAAGGGTTGCAATCCCATAAGACATGATTTTAACTGGAATACTCAGCCCCCAACGAGGGTTGTATGTGACACAAAGGCGGGTTGAATGTGGTTTCTCCAAGCCCGTAGGCTCAGCCAAAAATGCTCGTAGAACCCGCATAAACGGGATCAGGTTGGTCAACCCTCCCCGAACGAGGCTCTGCCTTTCAGCATAGCCTCGTCCTGGTTCCTCTTTGATCAGAAGCAGAGAGTTTGACTGCACAGCCGAAAGATTTCGACTGGCTAGAATAATGAAACTAGTAAGGAAATTAAGTAAATTTCTTTCCCTTCAAAACTACAAGTTTATATTTGAACACCGTCACCACCATAAAAGTATGAGGTGTTGGGTATGGGGAGGCAAACAAATTGTACATTTTAAGTCCAAATGTAAAAAAAAAAAAAATTTATACCATGTATGCCTTTAGTACTTTTAGTACTACACATTCTTCCATGTTTTCTTTCCATCCATAAAGTTTCTGATTTAATTTACTTTTGACCCAACTGCACACAGCAAGTTCAGCATTGAATTGAAAAGGTTTTCCTTTTAGCTTTTTGAAACAATTAGAAATTTGGTAATGCCAAATTGGGTACATACAGTGTGCATGGCACTGCCTGTGCATTTCTGGCTTTTCATCATTTGCACTGCAACTTTGTGTTGGAATGCAAAAAAGAAATATTTTTCTCTCAGACTTTATTCTCTGAGCACTGGCAAGGTTTTTGCTGTTTTCATATATATATCTAAATTTGAATTGACATACAACCTTATGCCAAAACTTTTACTATTGATTGCTGCTTTATGTGTAACATGGACAAAGTGCTCCTGATTGATGTATGCTATTACTCAAGGTCGTCACTCAAAGAACTGGTACAAAACATTTTGAATAGTTATTTTCATATTACTGAATCTGAGTTTCTGTTTGTGCTATTAGCAGTGACATGTAGTCAGACAGTTAAGTGCCATATGTGATGCATGCTTGAGCATTTGTGTATCTTTTGATACGTAACTGATGAGGCAGATTTTTTTTTCTCCGTGTTTGTTTGACATTTCTTTGTGGTACACTGGTTACCAATCAAGGCTAAAGAACCCAGTCTGTCCTGCTATTAAATCCATAGCTGGTAGGAGAAGAGATGGATTTATACCTTTCTTAATGTCAGTGAATCTAACATACATGATGACTGGAATTAAAACTCTTCAAGTTCTCACTCCGAGCCAATATCCATTATGACACAATGCACCTTATTTATCAATCAATCCTTTTGTTTCTGATCTTACAATTAACAGAAATAATGACTTATGTACCAGAGACAATTCTATGGAATTTGGGATAAGCAGTAAAATTTGAATCTCTGACTATCAATTACATAAAAATGTTTCCATTATAATTTTTAGGTGTAATTTTTTAATGGAATCTTCTTTTATCCAACATTATTTCTTATTAGTGTAAATGTTTGTTATACCTGACGTACCTATTCTATTATTAATAGACTCTCCCACACATAATAAGTAGTAGTAGCGGTTGCCAGTTCGGCTCAGTGGTGTTGAGCGAGTCAGTCGATATCGGACATTGAAGTATCAACCATCACAACTAGATTGCTGCGTCATTAACTCTTATTGCAAGTTCCTAACGTTTTGTACGTCGGACTCTTTTAGGACCGACTTAGTGAAGTACAAGCCTCCAATGTGAGAACTACTCTACAACACAATTTTATCTTTAGCAGGGACATGTTTTGACTATAGAAGTAGTTTACGTGATGGAGAAGAAGATACAATTTTGATTTTCTGTTGGAGGCACAATCTTTCTTTAGAAGGACTTCTTAATGTAGGCCACTTGTTATTTCACTGTTTTAAAAAAAAAGACCCCTGAAAAATGGTAACAACTCAACTATATGTACCCATTACGAATAAACTTATGTATATATACGCACACACACACATACACACACACACATTGTTTTGAAACCGTACAGTCTAACAAAGCGAAATCAAATTTTATCGGTCTTATGAAATAAAATATTACCATCGCTTTCGGAAGTATCCAATTTATTAATTAATTATTACTTGCTCTGTTTATTCCATTTGAATGCATTACATTCACTTACATGCTAATACCCTTGGGGAAAGGTATGAATCCTCTCCTTCTCCCCCCAGCTATGGGTAAATAGCAGGACAGACTGGGTTCTATAACCTTGGATGGATACTGGTCTACTGCAGAAAGAAATATTGCGGGAAAAAATCTGCCTTGTCATATATTGAAAGATACATGATCGCCTAAGCGTGTATCACATATAGTGCATAACTAACTGACTGTTTACTACATTGAGCTCTTGGGATTTATATCCTCCCTGGAATTATCCATACCGATTACCAATTAACTTTATCTTATATATATGTGTGTGTGTGTGTGTGTTTATTATAATTTATTTTCTTTTTTAACAAATGTGTTGCGATGGAATCATATTTTTAAAAAAGAAAAAATATAATTATAATATTTTGCTCTACTGTTTGTATTGAGCACTGTTTTTTTTTTTTTTAAATTGCTAAAAACACCGGATTATAAATCTTACTGTTCTTTCTAATTATTTTAATATATATGTATAAATGTGTTTATATATTTGTGTAAAATTTCACATAGAATATATCTGTAAAAGGGCAATATGAATAAAGACAAAAGGAGAACTTATTTCATTTTGTCCTCTGAGGTAAATGTGTTGGCTAAGATAAGTTTTCCTTTTGTTTTTATTTGTAGATGTTTATATATTTTGATATCTTATGTTTGATGATAAATGTTTGTAACATTTTTTTCAGCTCCTCCAATTGGAGAAAATCCATTTGATCTTTGCATCTAAACAATTACTTAAATAATTTGCAGGAAAAAAGATTAAAAATCCAGTATCAATTATAAGAATAAAAATCCAGTATCAACTATAAGAATAAAAATCCAGTATCAATTATAAGAATAAAGTACTACCACTTAATTGCATTGTCTCCAGGTCTACTCTAACCCTGGGTGGTAGCACCTGTTAGGGTCCCAGCTATGGGTAAATAGTGCACCCCTAAACAAAAATCAACAGTTCATTTTTATAGTTAAATTACCAACAATACATTTTGTACAAAATATTTAGATTTCAGCATTTCATGGAGGTTGATATGCTGTCAAACAAAATCAACCAATGAAACAACCAACATGAAAGAACCCTTTCATGACATTAGTCCATATAATATTCTACAAGAAATCAAACTTTATTCCAAAATATTACTTCAAAACTACAACATAAAATAGACATATCATTGCCTCTAGTAATTATGTCTACACAAACATATATGAACAAAAGCTGAATATCATCTACTATGTGTTCAATTGCAAAAGCAGAATAACATATATCATATTTTTATTACTTCAAAGCTCTCAAGAAAAATTTCAGCATGACCCATAAGTAGTTGATATGCCGTTAAACAAATCAGTCAGTAATGAAATGTGTAAATCTGTTGCAGTGTGCTGGAAGGAAGTGACCGTACTAATAGCTTCAGTGTCTACAGTAAAGAGGTTGATGTTATTATGAGTCGACAGAGTAGCAACCCTGAGAACCAAGCTGGAAGTAACAAGGTAAATAATTTCTCAGAATGATCTAGATAATATAACTTCACTTTTAACAAGACAAGCAGGTCTTCTTCATTTGAAACTTTGTTTGGTTTATACTCTTTCAAAAAAAAAAACCCTCATATTTAGTATATATTGGTAGATATTGGTATCAGCATGAAAAAAAAACTCATCTCCAGTCTAATGAAATATTCAGTACATTATTAAAATTTTGGTGTTCACTATGAAAAATTCTTTTAAAAAGTATTAGTCATACAATATTTTACAAAAAAAATTTTTTTAGTATTGGAAAATGCACATATTTCTTTAAGTTTTCTTGAGTGTGCAGGCATAGATATATTTCAAACATGGGTATCTACTAAAAACAATGTTTTGAAATAATTATATATTTATAACACTTTTCTGCTGGTCAGTGTTTGGTCAAATGCTGCCACTGGCCATTAAGTTGGTCACTCTGATCCAAACCATTACTCTGCCCATGTTGTGTTGATTGATCACGGAACTGGCAAAGATCAGATTGTTGTCAGCAATTGCAGTGTTGGTTCAATCCTGGCAAAGCTGTGTCACAAAGGAAATTAAAAAAACAAATGTTCCTGCAGACAAATAAAGAAAAGACAGGAATTTCTTCAGGGTCTATTTCTATGTAATTTTATATCAATTCTTTGTACAATATTATAAGTTCTTCATACAGAAATATTAACCCTTCTCACTTTGAAGTCTATTGTGACTTTGCTTAACTTAGCTAAGTCTGGAACAAGGCTTAATTTGGAGGTTCTCTCTGGCAGTAAGCCACGTGGGATCATGTCGAAATCAATAAGAAACCACTCCATTATCTTTCCGACAAAAAAACAAAAAAACAACAAAAATAGCAATGCAGAGTTTGCATATATTATTATAGGCTGTGAAGAAACCTGGCCACCTATGCTCTTGCAGGTTAGTCATGCTTCTGAAGGAACATGGTTAAAAAAAAAATACTTGATTTGTAAAGTTAACCTGAGGCAAGATGTATTTCTTGTGTTCTTTATAGAAAAACTCTTTTCAAAATAAATGATTTTGGAACAAAAAAAGAAACCTGTATTTATTTACATTCGTACTATTCTCCTCAGCTTTGTTATTATCATGTTTCAGCTGTTAAATCTGCAAATCCAATTCATGATATGTTTGTTTTTCAATTTGAAGGGTTCGTCATGCTACAACAATGAAGATGAAATACTTGTTACAAGAATGTCATGAATAAATTTAGTATTTGAATTTTTATTTTTAGAAGTTTAGATTGAAAACTCTTTTAATGACATTCTCTCGGAGAGTTCTGACAGAACTTTTTGTATAAGTCACAGTTTTATATAAATTATAAAGAATTACGGGAATGTTTCATTTTTAAAGTGTTTATTTACAAATGTGCTTGCCTAGAGTTTGTTCATTTATTCAGTAACTTTTTGCCTCACAATTTCTGTTATTATTTACATTTGATGCATATCAATTTTGTCATTTATTTGCTTAAAAAAATATTTAAATATTTCTCTTTGTAGGTAAAAACTACTACGGTTGTCAAATTTGAGTGGGAATCTCGGAAATACTTGGGCAATTTAGTTGCTGTGCATATGAATGGCATTTTTGTTGCTTATTGTTTACGAGGTAAGTTTTTTTCTTTTTTCCTCTCTCTTTCTTTTTTTTTCCTCTCTCCGACACTTTCTTTTTTTTTCCTCTCTCCGACACTTTCTTTTTTTTTCCTCTCTCTTTCTTTTCTTCATACTATAATGTGGCACAAGGGTTGATCATGGTTTCGTCCCTAGCTTAATCTGTGCTCATCTTGTTCATAATTAATTCACACATGCTAATCTAAATCCTTTCACCAACAGAATTTCTCCATCAGTAACATGCTTTCTACTTGGCACAATACTTCATTTATTCTAAGAAACCTAACCTATTTTCTTACCTGTTTGCAATTCGTCCTTCAATATATAGAGCTCAATTCTGGAAATTCAATATACAAGTGTATGTGAATGAATATTATGTACAGGTTGGTCTGAAAGTCTTGTCACTTTCTTCCAAACTAGGAGCTTGTGCTAGTCATCTGAAGAAAAAAAAATTATATTATGTGGGGGTAATACAACTTTTGGACCACCCTGTACAACTGTGGCATCAAATAAATAACTTATACTTACCGGCATGTCTTATATCTGGCCCAACTTAGTGATTCTTGCTTAATAACTAATTTGTATTTTCAACTTTTAAAATGAAATTTAAAAAATACCTGCTTTGTTTTTCATTTCTAATTTGGTTTATTTGTCTTGTTGGTAGCATTTATAATTGCTAGTTATTCAGGCTTACAGCTTGATCATGTTAAACACCAGTTTCTGTACAATTATTGAAGTTAAGCAATGTCTAGCCTGGTCAGTACTTCAGTGGGTGACCAATTGAGAATACAAGATGCTTTAAGCATGGATTTGCAGGTGGTCTAATGGATAATAGCTTGAACTTGTTAATCAAGGGACAGACTTACAATTTCTGTTGGGTTATATTCGTTTACACAAAAAAAATGCCCTTTGGAAAGGTACGAATCTAACTCTTCTCTCCCTAGCTATGCGTTAATTAGTAAGACTTTTATCACTGAAACTATATTATCTAAAAAAAAAAAAAAATGAACAAAACTCAATATATGTTGCCTGCTAATGTAGTTGTCGTACTTGGTCTGCAGATTGCATTGAAACATGAAAATGATAGTCACAATGCAGTGTTGATTCTTATGTTCATGCTATACATGATGTTGGAGAAAAGGAAACAATTTTTACTTTTTTTTTTTTTTTTTATAAACAGAATGAAAAATTTGAAGCTAGTATATCGATCGAGAGAAGGAATAGACATAAAGTCTTAAAAGAAAAAAATGAGATCAGATATTTATACTCACTAAGTTTTCAAGTAATAGGTTCTGAAAGAAATTTCAACTCTTTATGTCAACTGGCTTCTAGTAAAGTTTGATAAACTACATCCGGCAGCAAGGCCTGTGATCAGGAGATTGGAGATTTTGAAGAGTGTGGAACCACCTCTTAATTGCAGTTGTTGCCAGGTCCACCCTGACCCAGGGTGGTAGCACCTATTAGGGGGTCCCAGCTATGGGCACATAGTAAACCGCCAAACAAAAACCAAAGTCCTATGAAAGTATAAAAATTTCATACTAAAGATATCAGCAATACATTTTTATATAAACAATTACCAACCAATATTTGTAGTGAAATTACCAGTAATACCTATTTATCGTAGAATTACCAACAATACATTTTATCTGTAGTTGAAAGCATAAAATTGCATTCAAAATACTTAGATTTCAGTATTAAATAACCCGTAGAGGTTGATATGCTGCTAAACAAAATCAACCAAACACCCGGCATGAAAGAACACGTTCATGATATTAATCTATATAATATCCTACAATTTCTAAAATATAACTTCAACAAAACAACATAAATTACACATATCATTGACTTGCGTAATTATGTTCACACAAACATATATATACATAAAAGCTGTGTATCCTCTATCATGTATTCAATTGTGAAAGCAGAATAACATTATTTTAAGGCTCCAAAGAACATTAAATTTAGGCATTGAATGACCCATAAGGAGTTGATATGCCGTTAAACAATCAATCTAGTAAAGTTGACCTTTTTTTTGGAATTTATATTTTTTTGAAGATATTTGACTGGATCTAGTATCATTTGAGATTGTTATTTGGGAATTGATAATTGATCTGGTGAAATATTGGTGTTTTTTTTTTGTGTGTATATATATATATATATATATATATATATATATATATATATATATATATATATATTTGGTAAAAATGTTTTTTATGTTTTTAATTTTTTTTTTTTTTTTTTTAAGGTAAATCTGGTGCCAATATCCGCATCATCAACCGAAAAACAGCTGACCGTACTTTGCTGAAGGATTTCTGTGGACGTGTTACAGACTTGGCATTTGCTTTCACAGAGAAAATCTTGTTGGCTGCCATTGATGAAATGGGTAATCTTTACATCTATCAAGTGACTGGAGCATCTGATGGCAAAATACAGTATCCTTTAAAAGAGTCTTTGTAGCCGAGTCAGCTAAAACACAACAGATCTAATGATGGTTTTTCCTGCAAAAAGCGGGGGTGCAGATTTGAATCCTGCTGGAGTGCGCATTTTCCTTAAATAAGATTTCTCATATTCAGACTGGTAGACAAATAAAATACTGTTTAAAAAAATAAATGGTGGATCTACTCAAATATGGGTATGTGCTAAAAATAATGTTTAAAATGATAAAGATTTTGGATTAATAAATTTAGAATCCATTATTTCTTTAGAAACACACACACCCACATTTTGCTTTTGTATGTGCAATACTTATTGGGGAAGCGCTCAATATCAGTGATAGAGCTAACATATTCTGCTGTATAGATACGAGTTTGTGATCATCAGACAAACTGGTTTATTTTTTAAAATTAGATCTGTTTATGTTTGTTTGACTATGTTTGGTAGTGGGTGGGGGAATTTCCTTCTTGCTCAGGATGAGACACACACACACACACACAGGTGTATGCATGTAAATGCACCCATATAAACAATCTGGCCTCATAATGCGTACACCTGTATGTAAGTATGTCTGTGTGTATGAGTGTCATCTCGAGCAAGTACAGAAGGAAATACCCCGCTCCCACTACCAAACATAGTCAAACAAGCATAAACAGATCTAATTTTAAAAAATAAACCAGTTTGTCTGATGACCACAAAACCATGAAACTCAGGGTCACAAACTCATGTCCATACGACAATGTATGTATGTATGTGTGTGTGTGTGTGTGTGTATGTATGTATATATATTTATATATAATATATATATATATATATACACACACACAGGGTTACTGAGTGTGAGAGAATATAAGAAAAATAAAACTGGAATTAAGAAGGCAGAAAATTGACATTACATTTAAATTTTTGAAGATCAAAGTTGACTGGAAAGCAAGATACTGGAAGAGAAATTCACAAGTGAGAAGTATTAGCATAGAACTTATGGTTACATCAAGCCATTTGAATTTTAAAATGATGAGACCTAACTGCCAATCTAGTAGTATGCTTAAATTCATAAAGACTAAGAAACAAGAGAAAAGCTTATTAGAACAATTACCTTGAATTTATTTATAGAAAAGACACAGGAAAGTTATGTTATGACTGTAGGAAAATGGCTGAAGTCAAGATGCCAGGTCAAGACCAACAAAATTGCAAATTTTAATTGTATTTTTATCAAGAATCTCTATATAGCAGAAATACCAAACCAGATGTGACAGCAATATTCAATGCAAAGATGAATGGTAAAACTTATATGTAAGATAGATTCTGGTGAGAAAAACAGTCTAGTACAACACTGAACCAACATTCCTAGCAGCAGACATAGCAATTGATTCATTATAATCTTTCCACTTCATGTCAGTGTGAGAAGGTGCAAGGAGTCACTTTCTTGGAGGTTAGCACCAACCATGCTGATAGAAGACAAAAAGGGTTCTCTCAGACGATTAAGAGAACAGTTAGGTTTTGGAGGTATTAACAAAACCTTTCTTGACGTAGTTAACGACAGATTGTAGGTCATTTTTTTAGATCAGCTACCAATTTGACCCTATCGAACTGATCAGACTTACTATTAAGATGAATAAATAGTTGTGTCATCAGCATAGATACCAAGTTCAGGGCTGGGCTGATGACATCAGGAGAGTCGTAATGAAAATTAGCAACAATGTAGGTCCAAAGATAGTCGTGGGGGACACCTGCATTAATGCAAAATGATCTAGAAGAGTGGCCATTCAAGATAACTTTCATTTCATGATTTGATAATAAAGATTGGATCAGATTAGAAAATTTGTTTGGAAATGCCATAACTTGTGAAGAAGACCAGTATGCCAAACCCTGTTAAATGCCTTAGAGATATTCAAAGCAACAACCAAGTTTCAGCATCGTTCTCGAAAGCTTGATAGACTCTTTCAGCAATAACCCTTAATACATCAGCAGTTGACATAGAGAAGCCAAAACCATATTGCTTATAAGGAAGATCCTGTTAAGTGAGATGCTTATCAGATTCCAAGTTGTTTAGAGCCTCTAGTATTTTGCCAAGAAAAAAAGGTAGAAGACTGATGGTGAGATGGATCAGACGGATTGCTGGAATTTTTAAAGACTGCTACAACAGAATCATGTCATAGACAAGTACTGTGATTCCGGTAATTTTGAGACATTATTTTAAGCTGATTCTCAAGGTTGTTCAAACCTGCACAGAATTTTGGAAGAGGTAGGAAATCAATATCTGTATCTATTGTCTGAAACTAAGCATTTTAAGAATGGTGTCTTGTTCCTTGAAATAAACCCCAGAAGTGGACAACCGTCCGTTGGTGATTAAGATGCTTTAAAATGAAAGAAGAGAAATAGACCACCAACACTTGAAAATTTTTTATAACTGCAAAAATCAGCCAAAGATACCATATGTAGAAGGTTATATAAACTCTATTTTGCTCAAATAACAACAGAAAGAAATGAAATGATCTATATATCTTAACACACACCTATCTTATCTACAGTTGAACAATAGATAAGCTATTTACATTGTCCGGGTGGTTGTCCTCATCTTTATTGCCATATTCATAACGTTTCAGACATTGTACACTCTGGCCTTCAAGTGATATTTGTTGGAATTTCGAACTGAAGCTTTTATTTAGTCCACGGGGGTAGAGTTTTCTAATTTCACATGCCATGCCTTTGGATTTCTCAGTTTTAGTTAATTCTCTTTAATAACTCAAGCCTCCAAGTTTTTGTTCTTTTTGCTGTAGCCAGGGATTAAACTCACAACTCTTTCGCTCAAGCCACTTTTGGATCAATCAACCAGTACTTTTATCCATCGGGCCTAGTGTCCTTGAGGACGCTAATGAGTGAGACATTGTGAATACGGCAGTAAGATGAGGACAACAGCCTGAAAAATGTAAATAGTTACAATATCTCATCTCAGAAATATAAACAGATTAGATAAGCTGGCATCCTGAGTAAGATGATAAACTATATTAACAGCAAGACCTCTGATCAGGAGATTTTGAGGTGTGCGGAACCACCTCTTAGTTGCTGGTGTTCCCAGGTTCACACTGACCTGAGGTGGAAGCACCTGTTAGGGTCCCAGCTATGGGCAAATAGTTAACTCCTAAACTGGGGTCAAAACACTATTAAAGTGTAAAAATAGTTTTTTGTAAGATTATTACCAGCAATGAATTTTTGAAGAAGAAAAATTGGAGAGCTGTGTTCAAATTCCAGTCAGATTCATTACATTCACTTACGTGCTAATACTTTTGAGAAAGATATGTATCCTCTTCTTCAGTTATGGGTAAATAGCATGACAGACTGGGTTCTATAGCCTTGGGTGGCATCCAGTTTAGTAGAAAGTGACTCTGAATTCAAAACTGTATATAGCCCTGGTGTAGCACATATACTATACAGCTGAGGAAAGGATCATATTATGCTCAATGATGCTGACTACGGTCCACAAATGAATGGCTTTTTCTTTGTCTTGCATATACTGCTTGCTTGTTCAATGTTATTTTTTGCCTTGTTTTTTTTTTCTTGTTTATTACAAACTTTTTCAATTCTGTTTGTTGCGCAGTTCTGCCATTTATATTTAATCATTGCCAATTACACTTGATTGGTGTGATGAATCATTAAATGCCATCTTTTAAAATTTTATTTTTGTTTTTTTTTTTTTTTTTTTTTTGGTATTTCTTTTGATTAGTATGTTTTATTTTTTTCCTTTAACTTGAGTGCTTAGAACAAAGTTGTTACTGAATGTTACCTCTTACAATGATGACCAATCTTCAGAGTTTCATCGTGTCTTTTGGTGCCCTTACATCCCTGATGAGTCAGATGATGACACTCCTTCACAAGATGACACTTTTTCTAAAATGCTTTTAATAACTCATGGTGAAAAGGTAAAAAATCTTTTTTTTTTTTTTTTTCTCTTATTAATTACTTTTTATTTAAAGCCTCCCATATTGGCTAAACAATAAACACCAGAGGGTACTTGGATGACACGTTGTGTCTATAACAACATCTATGTCAACCAAGATGTTAACAATAATTCAAAATAATAAAAGTATATTTTACTTATTTACATTATTCAGACTGTTCTAATCATTTTTATTGCCATACTAACAGCATGGCCCGGCGTTGCCCATGCTTGATTCAAAAATCGTACGACTCATACAGCAATTGCTATCACTTGACTTAAAATATTTTTGCCCTTCCTTGGCTTTAAAGGAGTGCCCTTTGCTGTGCTGATGTTGCTACATGCCTTACTTCTTGCCTATCTCATCCTGCAAATTTTTTCTAAGCTCTATACTAAAAATTAAATCTGTTACGAAAAAAGAACTAAACAAAATGAACAGCTTTAAAAAAGGACTCGTAACTGGAAAAACTGAATGCAAAAAGAATGTTAACAACAAATACTTTTTCACATCCAACCCAGTTCTGCGGAATCAGAATCAACGTTGAGTTTAAGCAAGTGAATGAGCCAATTGGAGTAAAGTGCCATGCAGATTTAAATTTTTCCCACTTGTGACAAATGCAGCTATCGATTTTTTTTTTTTTTTTTTTTTTTTTTTTTTTGCCTGCTAGTTAACATTTGTGTCAGTCAGCTGTTGGCTCTCACGCTGGCCAATAGAATCTTCCTGCCTATTCAAGGCAGCCAGCTATAGGCTCTCACTCTGGCGAGTAGAAAATGGACGCAAACTACATGAAAACTGCCATAGAAGCATGAAAAAATCGATTATTTCCACTATTGATGGGAGTTGGGAAATGCAGTCGGTTTTGGCCTTCCCGCTAACTTTGTGCAAATCCGTCAAATTGCAGCCGTGTGTTCGTCACACACACACACACACATCCTGCTTTTATAGATAGATTCACGTTTTGGCCATTGTATGCTCTTCTTCAGGTGATTGAAATTTTGAACTGAACCCTTTATTTCATCCAACGGGGTAGATTGCTCTAGTTCCATGTGCCATGCCTCTTCTGGATGTCTCGGTTATCTCCCTTTAACTCAACTCTCAAAAGTTTTTGTTCACTACTGCAGTAGTCGTGTCACAACTCTTTGGGTCTTTTGAACTCACAACATTTTGGCTCTTTTATCCACTGGGTTATGTATCCTCAATGGACCAATGGATAAGTGTTGGTTAGATCCAGTGACTTGATCCAAATAGTTGTGAGTTCAAAAACCTGATAACCTGAAGCCTACAGTGGTTGAAACATTTTGAATATGGTAGTAAAGATAAGGACAACAGTTCGAACAATGTAAATAATTACAGTACCTCATCTCAGAAATATAGACAAATATATTTTAGTTTTATTGAAGTTTCCCAAGATATAAACTTGAATTGTTGGTATAGATAAAAGACAAATTTGTGTCCGTTTTGGTTTCTGGCTTGCCTATACATTTCTACATTTTATATAATTACGTTCATCTCTATCTGAAATGCTGCATATGTCTTCCATTTTTGTTGGTGTATTGTCAGGCTGAAATCTGGAATGTCGATATTGTGTGCCAGAAATACCCATCAGGTTCTGTTCGGAGCAATCAAGTGCAACAAGGTGTGCTGCGCATTAATAGCCATACAAAGCCAATCTCGGATGCTGCCTTCTCTCCTGATGGATCCGCCCTGGCCACAGCCAGCAAGGATGGAATGGTCAAGTTCTTCCAAATCAACATGAATGACGGCCCTTCACCCAGGTAAATGACTGTTTTTGAGGAAGCATCTTGCTTTTGTATCTCTTCTGTTTTATTAATTACAGTATGTAAAGATTGAGAAGTGCTGTGCATTTTTGACTTTATAACTGTTCATAATTTTTGGAAGTGCAACAATACCTCGGCTTAAGTCATTTTGAAAGATACATCGGTTTTTCTTAAATATTATATTGTAAAATAAAACTTGCCTCTTTACCGACAGAAAAAGCCTAATATGGAAAGCCAACAATTGATTAGGAAATCCGTTATTAATAAGTTTTTATGTTGTTTAATTTTTTAAAGAAAAGTGTGCGAGAGGATGAATGTGTTTGTTATGTAGGCAATATATTTATTTTAGCTGAAAACAAGAAAAATAGAAAATTTCAGCAAAATTCCGTCCTAAATTTTACTTATGAACTTAGTGAAAAAAATAAACTTCCTTTCTTAGATGTTCTCGTTGATTTTAGTAATAATACTTTTATAACTTCTGTTTATAAAAAAACAACTAATAAAGACTCTTGCCATCTTAATTTCTCTAGTGAATGCCCTCTTAGATATAAAATATGTGTTATTAAAAATTTCCTCAAGAGAGTGCATGAGAATTCATCCTCTTGCATACTTTTTTTAAAGAATTAAACAACATAAAACAAACTTATTAATAACGGATTTCCTAATCAATTGTTGGATTTCCATATTAGGCTTTTAGCTAATAGCAACAGTGAGAATAGAAACATAAACAATGACATTAGTATTTTTTATAAAAATCAAATGAACAAAGCTAGAATTAAGAATATTATAAAAAGAAAAAAATGCACAACACCAGTTGACAATAGGAAAAAAATAATTTAGAATCTTGAGTTTCTTGAAGTTTTATGCCTTTTTAGATTTTTTTATCTTATTTATTTCTTAGCATCTGATTCAAGACTTGTTCTTTTAACCATTAGGAATAGACAGTTTTTGTTTTCATCTTGCATATTTTTGTGATATTTACTTAAATGTTTTGTTGTGTTTTCAGGCGCCTTCATGAATGGTCTCCTCATGGAGGGCAGCCATTATCTTGCCTCTTCTTTTTGGATGATCATCAAAATCCGCACCCAGAGTAAGCCTACTCTTCCGCTCATTCCAAAGATTATTTTCAATAAATATAAAATAGAGAGATGTTTTTAAATTTTTTTTTTTTTAAATGGTATTATATAAGTATAATTACAACATCAACTTAGACATATTTCTTGATAAGTTTATATTCTTAACCCCACTTCACAAAAACACTTAACTTTTTTAGCATTATTAATATTACTTTCCTTTTCACTGCATTCTTTTTCAAGTCGTTTTAGTTGCATTATCCTTATTGTTAATTTCACTCCAAGTTGTTTTCTGCTGTCATAGCAGGATATGACAACACAACTACGAAATTCAAAAGCTATTGTTCAGGAATCAGTCGCCTGGTGGCAGGATAAACTTTTTGTACAGAAAATGAAGTCACATACAGAGGGATAAAGGTTAAAAAAATTCCTTTAAATAATCATTACAATCTTTTTGTAGTGAGGCATTCAGTTTATTTTATTTTTCTCTCTCTCTCTCTCTTCAGTGTATCCTTCTGGAAATATGCAGTAACAGGTGCTAAGAATAATCAGGAACTCAAGGTATGGAGTTGTGTGTCTTGGACTTGTCTACAGACGATCAGGTGAGAAACTTTTTTTTTTTTTTTTTTTTTTTTTACGTATATTTGCCAATCCACTTTGCTTGAAACATTTGTCTCTTATATGAGGATATGATTGTAGAGACATTCTAATTGAAAAGAATACTGCCAGGTTCGAAATTATAATTTAAATTCAGTGAAAAATATAAGGAAAAATAATTTAAAAATCTTTATTTTACAATGTTTAGAAACAATATTAAAAAGCTTATCTAGAAATAATGCAAAAAGAATCCTAATATCACTTATTTATGAATATGGCAATAAAGATGAGGACAACAGTCTGAACAATGTAAATAGTTACAATACCTTATCTTGGAAATATAGACAGATGTCACTTACTTTACTTCTAAATGATTATGCAATAAAAATTCTGTAGATCTGCTTGTATAAAACATTGAATGATTGGGCAATAAAATTTCTGTAGATCTGCTTGTATAAAACCTTGAATGATTGGGCAATAAAATTTCTGTAGATCTGCTTGTATAAAACATTGAATGATTGGGCAATAAAAATTCTTGTATAAATTGTTTGAATTAAAAATGTAAGAATTTAAACAAATTCTACAACATAAATAATTGAAACAATTATATATGTGAGGTGGGGACTGACTTAAATTGCTCTTGAGATTTGGCTTCTTATGCAAACAAATTTATAATAAGATGCAATTTGGCTTTATCTTTATTGACCATACAGTTTTATCTCCCTTAGTAATGAGACACTCCATTGTACTGGAAACTGGTAACATTACTTGATATTTATAAGTGAACATGCCTTATTACTCTAGTCTGGAATATCTCTAAGTAGGGTTGATCAGGCTGCTAATACATTGCTTTTTATTTCTCTTGCATGTTAGATTTATTTGGTTAATTTTAATTATGATCAAGAGAACAGATTTTTTTTTTATTACATATGATAAGTGTAAATTGTAGCGATAAATCTTAGATTAATCGAGCATAATATATGACCAATGCTTCTGCAAAAGTAGATAAATATCTCTTTTTTTTTTTTTTTTTTTTTTTTTTCTTTTAATAATTTTATGGGTACAATATATAATACTTGTTGGCTCATATTCTAAGAATGCCTGACTGTTTGTGGGGCTAGGTAATCCCTGTTACAGACACCTGCTCAGGCACATTTGTGTTTCTTCAATACCCAAAGGGCCAATCTGTGGTTTATACTGCAACTATGCTAACTTTAGTTACAGTTTCTAGAAGAGAGCATAACATCTGAAACAATTAGTAAATGAACAAGGCCAGTACACTTGGTCATGATGACTCAAGACTTTGTGCTAGCTCAGCCATAAATGACTTGTGAATAGTTTTGTCTACTTCAGTCAACCTATGGTATGATTTTCAGGTACTTTCCAGTGTTGGCACATGTTGTAATCATTTCCCCTGGTTGATATTAGCAAGAAGTCACTTTCTTAACAAATCGACTATGGTGGGATTTGAACCCTGGTCTCTTGGCCAAAATGCTAGCCACTTTGCCATGCATTTTTTTTTTTTAAAATACTTTACAATCTTCAAGTTAGATTCCTGGTAAAATTTGGTTTCCGTCAATTATAAAAGTAGAATGATGTAACTGCCCATAATTTTCATGTTTTTATTTTATTTCTGTTTTCTCTCTGCAGGTTTCTTCCCCCTCCAGCACCACATCTTGAGGTACAAACTGAGCCTTGTATGAAAGTTGTACTTGATTTGAGTGCCCGTTATTTAGTCCTAACAGATTTCAGGCGCAAGGTTATTTTTTTTTTTATTTATTTTATTTTTATTTCACTGGATTTTTTTCCTTCAATTAATTCTCAGCCATTAATTTTAATATCAACTGCTCCGCTTTTTTAAGCAAGAAAAAGGCTTACAGTCATGTAGCATTTAAACATCAGTTCCCATAAGATCATTGAAGTTAAGCAACATTGAGCCTGTTCAGTACCTAGATGAGTGATAGCTTGGGAATTCCAGGTGCTGTAAGCATGGATGTGCAGGTGGTGTAATGGCTGAGTTCCAATTTCAGTTGGGATTGTTATATTCACTTACTCACAAATACCCTTGGGGAACAGTATGAAATCACCTTTTTTCCTCCCAGCTATGGGTTAATTAGTAAGACTTGTATCACTAAAACTATTATCTCTCCACCCAAAAATTCTAACAATTTAAGAATATTTTGTGGTTTTAAATAACCTGCAAAGGATTGATAGATCCATAGAAAACAAATCAATCAATTCTCTCCCCACCCCACAGGGCGCGGCAGAAATACCTACTACATATACCTTCACAAAAATACCTGCTACATAATTGTGATACATTACTGGCAATGGTACTTTCATCTAGCTAATCTCTTAACTTTATGTGGGGGGTATTTTTGCCACACCCTGTGTGTGTGTGTCTTTCATACATTTCTCTCTCACACTTGTTTCCCAGTCCCACACATACACTCTCACTAAAAATTTTTGTTTTTTATACCCGGAGTTATAGAATTTGTAGATCTCATGAATTGGATTGTGATTACGATTCCAGTGTAATAAATTATAACCATGGAATATTAGTGTTTGAGCCTTTTATATTATATTCTTACTCTGTCCTGGACATTGAGTTCTACCTGGATTCTATCCTCTTGGGAATTTATTTATATATATATATATATATATATATATATATATTGACCACTAATATTATATATATATATATATATAATGTGTATGTATATAATTTAAAAAAAATTTTTATTACTATCTAAAAATATTTTCTGGCTTTAAATAACCTGCAAAGGGTTGATAATCCAAAGAAAATGAATCGATCAATCAGTATTCACTTACATGAAAATACCCGTGGGAATGATACAAATTCATCTCATCTTCCCACAGCTGTGGGTTAAGTAGTATGACTTGTATTACTAAATCATTATCTAAAAAAAAAAAAAAAAAAAAAATTGTCAGAATCTGTGGTGAACAGTCACGTCGAAGCAAACCAGAGTGGCTTGCATCTGGTACAAAGGAAAGTAAGTTCCTTACCTCAACGTGTGGCACATGGCATCGACATTTTGCTCCTTGAAAATGGCCTTACTCTCCCATCTAACGATTCCAGCAGAATGTGCAGTAACAGGGGTTTTTTGTACAGTTTGGCATGGTCCTACCAATAGCAAGCTGTGTGCTGATTGGTCAGACTGAAGGGAGGCTATTTGCCTGGGTAACTGAGAACAAAAGCAAAGAACGTCGATTGATTGGTCAACTGCGGTGTTAGCCTGATAAAAGAGGGCTGAAGAAGCGAGAAGGCAGAATAGTTTTACGTTGGTGAAGTGTGTGGAACGCAAGAACGGCAGATTGAACAAGTGTTATATTGTATTGTACGAATGATGTTCGAGGAATAGAGACTCCTTTAACTACAGAATCTAAAAATATTTTCTGGTTTTAAATAACCTGCAAAGGGTTGGTAATTCATAGAAAATGAGTGAATCAATCAATATTCACTTACATGAAAATACCTGTGGGAATTATATGAATCCATCTTATCTTCCTACAGCTGTGGGTTAAATAGTAACACTTATCTCAAAAAAAATTGTCAGAATGTAAAAATATTTTCTGGCTTTAAATAACCTGCAAGTGGTTGATAAGCAGTATAAAAGGGATCAGTCAAGATTCACTTTCCTATAAATATCTTTGAGAAAGGTATAAATCCACCTCTTCTCTTCCTGCTATGGATTAATTATGTATGATTTGTATCATTTAAATCATTATTATCTCAAAAGAAAAATTTTTACACTCTAAAACTATTTTCTGGTGTTAAATAACCTGGATAGGGTTGATAAGCTGTAGAAAATGAATCCATCAAATCTAAGCAAGGAAAATGAATTGTAGTGATTTTCCAAGTGTAGCTTAGATGTGGCACAAGGCCGAAAGTATGGAGCACCCTGTGAGGATCGAACTTACTACTCAGTCATAATTGTTTTAGTGAAACAAGCTTGCTAACCATTACACCACCTCAAGGTGTCCAAAATGAATTGTAAAACTGAACACTTTTACTCATTTCTTTTGTCTGTGAGCAGTCCCCCCACCTCCCCGTATATTTTTTTGGTCTATGAGTTGTTTCAGTTTGACTACTATTTTATTTTTTTTTTTTCCAGGTTCTTTATATCTTAAGCTTAAGCCAAGATCACAAAATGGACACTGCCCATATTACTTCCGTTTCTGAATTCCTACTTGCTCAACCTTGCCTCAGCTTTGCCATTCTGGATGCTCATGCCAAAAAATTTCGGCAGTCTTTGAAAGATGACACTTTCCTTGAAGAACTGACCACTGGTAAGTATTCTGTGCTTTTTTTTTTTATTTGACACTTCCACCACTTAAGCATCTAGACAAAACTTACATTACCTGCTGTCAACACATACATACTCACATGCAGGAATTTGATGGGTAAATTGTGGCTATTTTATATTTTTAATTTTGCGCATGTGCGTTGGTTTTGATTTTGTTGACTTCACAGTATAGTAGGGTCAGTTGGGCACCGTATTTGAGAAAAAGAGCAACATGATGCAATTCACTCCATTAGAAATTTGGAAACAACGTGGTGTACTACTTACTATTCACCCCGGAAGCTCCAATATGAACATTTCAGAGTGTTTTTGCTGTCAATCTGAGGACAGTGCAGAGGATTCAGGAAGTGTTAGATGCATCTAATGCTGATTATGAAGGTGTTTGGAGTGATCACTAGTGGTGTTCATTTTCCCACAGGGCTTCAGCCTCAGAACAGAAGCCTATATCAAGTGCCTTAAGGAAGTAGTACTGTCCTGGATCAACAGGACTCTACACCATCCCACACAAGCAGGAGAACCCAGTCATGGTTGTCAGATAATTTCTGCAACCACATCACCCCTTACATCTGGCCACCTAACTCCCCAGACAAGCAAACCCCTTGATTATTATGTATGGGCACAGTTGGCTGAGAGACCAACAAAATTGCTTGTAACATCAAAAGTGAACTGAAGGCAAGGATTATGGCAGCATTCACAAACTTAAACAAAGAGACCATCCAGAAAAGTTGCAGGAGATTCTGAATGGCGATTTTTATTGAATAAATTTACTCTTTAGTATTTAAAGATATTTTTGTGTAATTTTGGTAAATATATCTGTTAAAATGAGATGTCAGTGTTATTTTCATTTTTGTATAGTTTAGACAACAATTCATCCACTGCATCTCCATATATATATATATATATATATATATATATATATATATATATATATATATATATATATATAATATTTCATTGAATATGACAAACAAGCAAAATTTGAATTCTTTGACTTTTTCTTACATTTTTCAAACAGCACAAAAACTATATCTTGAACAGTCAAACATGAAAAAAATTTAATACATAAAAATAAACCACTTTGAAAATGACTCAAGAAGTGGGTAAAGCGATTTCGACAATACAGACAATTTTACCCTCCTTTACTTTCATGAAACAGAAAAATGTAGAATGTTCTAAAAACTAAAAAAACAAAACAAAAATAAATTAAATTTTCCTTGTCTGTCATACTCATCAAAATGTGTTTATATATAAACTAAAAGTTTGTGATTGCCTACATGCTTGTGTGTCTGTCTGGCACATAATGATTTGAGTTGTTTATACAGTAAGTACTTTTATTTAAACTTTCTTCAGACAATTTTTTTAATTAAAATATTTTTAAGTTAAAGACAGACTCAAAGATCCTGCTTTGCTGTTTCGTCCAGCTGTTTGTAGAGTAATTATTTATATTTCAGCTTTCTTTAAACAAACAATATTTTAAATATTTAAGAAATATTTTTTGGCATATTTAAAAATATTTTCAAGTGAATATAATTTTAAAATATTTTTTGGCATATTAAATAAATATTTTTAAGTTAATCTGATTTAAAGTTTCTCTTGGAAGTTCTATTCTTATTAAATACTGTAAACAATCAGTAAAATGTAAAACATGAACTTGTAAACCAAACCAATGATGACAGGAACGAATTGAAATATTTAACTGAATCATAATAAAATTAAATTTCATTTCAATGGAATGTTGAAGTCAACTTCAATGTTTTATAACCTGAACTGGGAGTGACCCATATATATATATATATATATATATATATATGTGTGTGTCTGTTTACATTAAAATGCCTCAAAGAACAAGCTAGTTACATTATCACTGATTAGACACTTAATTACTACCAATCTGGATGAACAGAGGTCTTCTTGGGAAGCACTGTACCTTGAAAGACTGTTTGGTCTTAAACTCACACCCGACCTCAAGTGGAACTCATACATATGATCCATTACTAAGGATGTAGATAAAATTGTTGGCTCTCTCTACTGCTTTAGTAAGTACCTGACACCCCCTGCTATCCTCTACCTTTACAAGAGCCAGATCAGGCCAAAAATGGAGTACTGTTGCCATATTTGGGTGGGAGCTGCCCAGACCTCACTCTCCAGCCTTGATAGTTTAAAAGCGTCTCCAAGCCCTTGTGGGTGACAAACTAATCCCACCCTTCAACCTCTCTCCCACTGGTTAAAAAAATGTTAGTACACTCAACTGGTTTGAATTGAAAAATTGAATTGCTCAGATATATAGAAATTTATATATCAAATTATTTGGACAGGGCAAAAAATGTTTTATTGCAATTTATAACTTAGTTTTTAATATTAAAAAAAATGTAAACTTTAAAATTATATCAGCATTTAAATGGGTTTATTATCCAATGTGCTTTAAAAAAAAAAAAAAAAAAAAAAAAAAAGAAATTTACTGAAAAAGTGTCAGTTTAAATGCTTTTGATTGTCAATGTAGAAAGATTTTTCTCTTTTCTCTGTAACTGGTCCCCAACAAACCAGATATTTTCATGTTGTACTTTTAAAGAATTGCTTTTGTAATATGTATTTGTTATTTTGTGTGTTTGCAGGTGAAATTGAAGAGGAGGAGACTGAAAAGCAACTTGATGATGAGGATGGAGAAATTGTGGATGGGGTTCTCATCAAATTGTATGCTGTTCATAGCTCGTAGGTTTCTTTTCATCCGTTTCATGTAGCTTTGCTTTTAAATACAACACCTTAATTTTTTAATTCTTCCTCTCTTTTGCCAGTTTTTTTCTTCTTGAGCTCTCCTGCCAGTTTGTTTTTACCTTCTTGAGCTCTCCTGCCAGTTTGTTTTTACCTTCTTGCGCTCTCCTGTCAGTTTTTTTTCTTCTTGTTTCTCCCGAGATGTGGGTTAATTAGTAAGACTTGTATCATCAAACCATTATTATCTTAAAAAAATATTCTTATAACCTAGAAATATTTCCTGACTTTAGCTAACTTGCAAAGGGTTGATAAGCTGTAAAAAAGCAAATCAATCAAATCAAATAAATATGACAATAAATTTTAGCACAAAACCAATGATGGGAATTTTACCTGAAACTGTAAAAAAAATATCAATAAACTTTATGAAAAGATAGGCGAAGTCAAATGGATTTTTTTGATAGTATCAAATGAAGTTTTGGGAAACAATAGAAGGCCAATTTTTATTTTATGGAAATAAATATGGCGGGAATACTTGTACCGTTTTATTTAGAATTTGAATTAAAATTTACAAAACGAGTAACTTTAAAATGAATGTGATTCACAAGGTCAATTTTATTTGGCATTGTGATTTCTAAAAACACATTTCTGACACAAGTGGAAAAGTAAAACATATTGAAGAGGGCACTTATTTGAAATTAAAACACACTTTTCCCCTGTCATAGTGGTGGTGGTGGGGCTATAAAGATTACTTTTTGATGTGGTGAAGGGGGCACTTAGATGAGTAATTACCACATTTACAATTAGCTTTAAGTATCGTCCACAAAATTTACTTCTCCATAGATTTACAATTGTTTCATTTCATTGCCTGATGTTGGTTATTATTTCTCTTTTTCATCCTTGCAGGATTTTGCAAGAATTGCACATCCGTTTCAAACCAGAATCAGCAATTCCAGAAGCAGAATTACAGTCACTCTCTTCTGTGTCTCAAGATAATGTTGGTAAGTAAATAAAAATACTTATTTGATTTTTATGCAACTTAATAACTGCAGACTTTTTTTTTTTTTTGTTTATTTTAAAGTCATGTTATTTGATGATGAAAAGAGTTTGATTGTAGAGATGTGGATGAGTCTAATGGTTTAACAATACTGAGAATGGAATTGGTGAGCAGAGTTCAAATTCTAGCTGAGATAGTTTGATGTTCACTTTCTGCTAATGTCTTTGGAGAAAGGCATGAATTCATTTTTCCATTAACAAAGTTAAATCTTTGGGCAGACTGGACTCTATAGCGATTTTTTAGCAAACAGTCTAGAAAGAGAATCACCAAATTCAAAATAGAAGCTACTGCTTCCCTACAAAAAAAAAAAAATCAATCCTTGCAGTTTACAGTTTTTTTTTTCTTCTTTTGTTAAATCATTTCATCCCAAGTAAGGTGGGAATGCCACTAGTATGCAGGGGATTACAGGAAGTGAAAGTGAGAGAAAAGACTGAGTATAGGGTGGATTGAGGAAAGGACAAAAGATGAACAAGATTCAGGAAGATACAGAATGGCGATTGATGTTGCATTTAAATTTTTGAAGATTGTAGTTATCAGGGAAGCAAATAAATGGAAGGGAGTGACAGTTGCGTTTAGCTATTTCAACAGTAAATGGGTGGGACCTAGATACAAATCTAGAGGCATGCTTAAATTCATGTAGTCATGGTACCATGGGCAAAAAATGTTCATCAGAGCAGTTACCATGAAGATATTTGTAGAAAAGACAGAGCAAAGCCATGCCTCGTTGGTGAGAAAGTGACTGAAGTCAGGATGCCAAGTCAGGATCGATGACATTATCGATCCTTCTTTGGATTTTGTCAAGAACCTTGAGATGAATAGCAGAAGCACCAGACCAGATATGGTAGCAATGCATGGACAAAGTTGACAAATGTTAAAGAAAGGGAAACTGTGGTGAGCCATGATCTTCTATGTTGAGAGGGAATAAGACACTTACTATGAGTGCTTAGTATATTGACAGTTTTAATTGGGAACAGTTTTAATTTTCCTTCAAAGTATAATGGGTGCCAAGTTGTATTGGAATTTGTGGGAATGAAAAGGCTGATGCAGCAGCCAAATCATCACCAAGAACCTGAAGAACTCAAAATCCCTTATAGACTTGAAACCCCAAAAATGAAGAAGCATATAACCCATGAATGACAAAAAGAATGGAATAAATGCACTTACAGTGAATTACATGACGATATTCAACCAACCATTAAAGAATGGTCCCCCACGGGAAAGCAAGGAAAGAGGAAGCGGTCCTGGCCAGGCTACAAATTGACCACGCCCGTCTCCAATATTCTCATTTACTTAAAAAGGAACCACCTTCAACATGCAACAATAGCCAATTTCAACCTTTGCAATAAAACGTATACTTATAGGTTGTAAAGAACTTAACCAAACTCGATTAAAACATTATCAGATACAGAACATAAAAGATCTGTTTGAAACCACTGATCTCAAAAACATTATGAACTTCCTAAAAGAAATAAACCTTTTTATGTCAAAATTAAAAAGAAAAAAAAAAATAAAGAGAACCCACTACTCACAAAATACAAATAACAAAACCATCTGCCGACAAAATGCCAATATAACCAACTTAAATTGGCTCTGAATAACCCACTAGTGCTTGAAGGACTCTTCAATACACAAACCAAACAATTCAAATATAATGACACAGTATTTAGTTGAACTCCTTTCGGCAATGGGTAATGAGGTGGACTACAAAAGTGAAATAAAAAGATTGGTTGCATGGAACTCTGAGAATAACCTTGCTTTAAATACCTTAAAGACAAAGAATCTGGTGGTGGACATTCGGAGAAATATACCAGCAGTTGTCTTTTTGTTTATTGGTGGGGTTTGGTTTGTGTCTGGGGGTGGGGTTAGATTTCTGGGCACGAGGCATTGTAGATGACCCTCTCCTGCACTAGCAATACCATCACGTTAGTCAAGAAAGCGCATCAATGACTTTATTTACTGAGAATTCTCTGAACAAAATAATTTACAAATGGAGCTGCTGTTGACTTTCTACCGCTACTCTATTGTGTCCTGTCATACTGCGTCACTGTTTGGTAAGTCAGGTACTTGGTAGCAGTCAAAAGAGCCCCCACCCTGCCAAAGGATTATAGATTTTGGCCAGAAAATAATTGGCTGCTCACAGGACTTTTCTAATTCTTGTTGCCTCAGCAGAGCAGAAAATATTAATGAAAGACACCATGCATCCCGGGTACCACTTTTGTTTGAAATGTTTCCCCAGAACAGCGTTTTAGTTCTATTAGTTCTAGAACAAAATATTTGAGGGACAGCTTTTATCCTTAATCCGAGTGTAAAATACATGGTGACAATTTTTAGTGTATTTTAAATGTTATTACTTTTCTTCATTCAATAGTTTGTTTTTTTTCTTGTGCACCTGGGGTGTGCTGTCCAGTTTTGTTGTGTATTGTGCAATGACAAGAAGAATAAATAAAAATAAATAAATAACCGTAGTTGCGTTCTGTATTAATGTTCTACTTTAAAATCAGAAAGTATGAGGAACAATCTGATTATCAATTTGCCGATCTCATAAAAATTTATCATTTTGGGTTTAAGTTTGGTTTCAGGATTCTTCTTGACAAGGAACGTAGAAATTTTATTTATCTATTTTTTTTTCCTATTAATACATGTATTTTTATACATTCCATAGCAAATGTACTTATATGCAAATATTCTTGGGAAGGTATAAATCCATCACCTCCCTTCCCTTCAGCTTTAGGTTAAATAGAAGGACTTGTCTGTCTATATTTCTGAGATGAGGTATTATAACTATTTACACTATTTACATATTTGAAGAAGGCAGGATCATGCAATGGTCGAAACATGACAATTTGCCCAACATTCCGAACAATGTTAATAGTAGGAACAGTATTTAGAAAAATCATTGTTATTGTCAAAAAATGATAATGCAAAAAAAAAAACAAAAAGAATTATTCTTACAATCCCAAAAATGTTTCGCCTTTAAGTAACTCACAAAGGGTTGATAAGCCATAAAAAAAAATCCTGGAAAATGTTCAGATAAGCTTCATTCTTTATTTCCACTAGTTTAGACTTTTACAGCTAAGGGATGCCACAGTAAAATCACCCACATTTCTATGTTCTAAATGTAAAGAGAAAGTTCCACTCAGACAGCTTTGTTCCTAAGAATTGTGATTTTATGAAACAGACTCCCACTTGGATACTTCCCTGAACACTACAATCTTAACCTTTTCAAGTCAAGACTCAATTGTTACCTATCCTCCTTATCATTATTTCCTACTCTTTCATTCATATTACACACTACATTCATCATAACCATTTTAACAGTAACCCTCTATCTTGAATGGCTCTTGAGCTTTATATTGGATGAAAATTTAGTATTTATTAGCTGTTTGACCTCCTTCCTCATCAGCCATAGGGTTGGGACTGTAATGGAATGTGAACTGATAGATAATTTCACTTCTTAACAGGCACCAACCTGCTAAAAGTCCCTTTTTCATTTTTAGGAGACAATGCAACTTATCTTAAATAATTATTTAGAATTCATTAAGGAATGGCAGTTACATAATTATTGTTCTTATCTGAATACATTCACCTGAGTAGCATGTCCACATAGTTTAACTCTACACTTCTAACATCTCCACCTAAACTCTGAAATTTTTACTCTTTTATTCTCTTATTTTTTTTTTTGCCAGCAGGAGTAGATCAGTTTGCCTATCCTCCGGTTCATGTTCCTTCCCCATCTATTGAATACAGGTTTATTCCTTTATTTCTTCTTGAGGATTGGTCTTCCCTCTTGTACTTTTCATAATTGACTGCTTGGCATAAAAAATGGTTGTGTTTGTAAATCAGTGACTTTTGATTATTTTATTTCTATAATAGAATCTGG